CTTTCCCTTTCCCTCCCTGTGGAGGCATTGTTAGGTATCCAGTTTTACAGGTTTAGGGAGCTTGTTTTGCTTTTGAAGAGGAAAACTGGGGGAGGAGAACTGTAGAGTGTGAGTTTATATCAATAATGTGTATAATACCCAATTGTTTTTATTCATTGGTTTGTCTGTATTGGGCTTTAAAAGCACAAAAGATACTAAGAAAACTTACCTTTCTTTCAGTAAAGATGATGTGGAGAAATGCAAACAGAAGGATTTACTGGAGCAGATGATGGCAGAAATGATTGGAGAATTCCCTGATCTTCATCGAACGATTGTCTCAGAACGAGATATTTACTTGACCTACATGCTGAAGCAAGCAGCAAAGCAGATAGAACTACCTCGCGCTTCAGAAAGTAAATGCTTTAAAGCAGATATCGTAACCAGCAAGGTGTTCTTTGTGTACTAGTCCAAAGTTCAGTTCTTCTCAGGAAATCTGGGATATTCTGTTCATGTGTGCCACATGTCACATAAGTTTACAGTGCTTAAAAAATTAAAAAGGGATATTACTCATCTGTGGCAACTGCCTATAGAAGTAAAGAATTTTTGTAGAGCAGTAGACTCCAAATTATGGTTCCTTTCTCATTGTGGTGTTTAAAACTGGAAAATAGGAATTAACCTGAAGACTTTTTCAAAAGGCAGGCATCTGGTATTACAGCACAGCACAGGACAGTCTAGACTTATGTTGCCTATCTCACTTCCACATTGTTACCTCACCAAATTCATTGTCATCACTAGCTTCTCAGGAACACATTTCTTGCTTGAAACAGGTCTTACTCTGCATGTTTCAGCAAGGTATAGGCATACGGAATAATTGCATTTCTCTAGCCTTTGGAAGTATTTTGCTGCTGTATGTGGTCTGCATGCCTTATGTATAGGCATACTGAGGTATGGGTTACCTCTTATTTGCTATTGTAAGATGATCTTTGTAATCACTGTAATCACAATGCCTCTGGCACTGTCTTGTGGTTGAAAAAAGAGCCAGGGGATTGCACTTGTGGTCTTGTATCTCTCTTGCTGAATATTATCTGAATGCTGCCTTCATAAAGTTTGTCCAAACACACAGTATTTCCTGTTAGCCCAAGTTGATATGGCTGAAAGAGGCACAGATGCATTCAGTTACTTGGACCAAAGAGCAGGCTGAAAATTTAGTTTTATTGTTGGTCCTGGCTGGGTCATAAGCCACAAGAGGAATTGTTTAGCAATTCCCCTGCTCTTCCTCCTGCCCCCACTTAAATCTACCTTCTTAAAAAGAACTCAGTCTCTGGATCACTGGTTTAGTGAATGCCTATGAAACTGGAAGGGAGCATAAAAGACAAGAATGAATGACTGGTAAGTCATGTGTCTCAGTCTCTTAGTTAGCCAGAGACAATGCCAGAGACAGTTTTGTTTAGAGGCTGTGCATTTATATTTTATACATATAATCTGTTCTATGCATTCATGCTCATGAGAGGCAAAAAGAAAAAAGAGGCAAACGATATACTCAAGATTCATAGTAAAATACAAAACCACACAATTCAAATGAGTAGAAATAGAGCATCATCACCATTGTCCAAATCATCTGCTATTGTAGGGACATGGTATGGGGAAATTCCTGGACACTATTTGTAGAACTGAAATATACTTTTGGTCTGATTTGTTTCCTAGCCACCTTCTGACTATTTGCCTGGCTGAACTATTCCAAAGAGCTTGTAAATGAAACTTTCACATTTATTTTTTCATTCTGTCTTTATTCTACACAAAAATACTTGGAGAGGGATAAAAGTTTATTCCAGAACTAAGTTTCAGGCAGGGCTTTAAACATTACTGTTGTCATCTTTGAATCCTGCCCAGAAGCAGACAAGAACAGAGGGGTGGAGGCTGGGGCGGATGTGCTATGCTGTGGACAGCCCATTCTGCTGAGGTGCTGTGCACTGTCTCTGTTGTAATTGCAGCTTTGGTTTAGAGCATCCCTAGAATAGGCTGAGAAAAGGCAAGTCCAAAAAACCAATTCTGAAAATGTGTATAATAGTTCCTGTGTTTTCAATACAGTTCTGTTTCATTGCGGGGAGTTTGGTTTTCAATTTTTTCTACTTATTCCTGGAAAAATCAAGGGTGGATATTTAAAGCAAGGCAATGGAACTCACATTTTATATTTATGTATTATGTATTCCCATAGGAAGCAGCCTGATTACTATTACTTAGAAAATTTTCTGTGAATTATTTTTATCATGGCATGGTGCCATTTTTTCACTGGGGGAGAGGAACAATATTTTAACTTCCATTGGGTGTTGTGGAATTTGGGTCGTAGATGGGAGGTGAGGGTGAGAGCTGGCGCATGTTGCAGCGGTCTCATGGTGACTGGCTAGCTGCTGCATGTGAATGGGAACGGGTTTTGCTGAGGCCAGGTCTGTAACAGTAGTTGGTCTCAAGTGCTGTTCTCCAGATCGTTCATTCTACTTGTTAGCCCAGGTCTGGTCACAGTTTGGATATGTGCTGGCTGCCACTGTCCAAAGTGGTGGAGAAAGCTCTCTGCTCAGCTCAGGAGACAGCGAAGACCAGGGTTGTTCCTGATAAGTGGTACAGAAACATGACCCACGCAGGGAAACATTAATTTATCTTGCATCTGCTGAGCCTCTCACCCTGAGGCTGGAGTATGAGCCCTGACCAGGTCTGTTTACTGTAACAAACGTTTCCTGAAAATCCAGAAGCTGTGCTGACTTTTTTTTTTCATATTTTCAACATAAGCAGCAGTAGGTGAGACGAGTGTTAACTTCTAGTATGTATTAGAGTTTTGTAAGAATCCTTACGTCTTGGAAAATTCTATTTTGTAATCTCACACTATTTATAGCTTGAAATTAGTTCTTTTACTGATGTGTCCCTTTGTTTCCATCTCTGTTTCTCAGCTGAACCTAGAAAATATATCCCAGCTGTTGTAGTTGGTGTTGTTGGGATGGGTCATGTACCTGGAATTGAAAAGAACTGGAACTCTGACTTAAACATCCAGGAAATAATGAGGTAAGTCATCCTTTCCTATGTGTTGACATAACAGCTTCTCCTGCTAAAAGACAGCAATAATTGGTTGGTTTGGGTGTTTTGGGTTGTTTGTCACAGCTTGAAGTCATACCAGCACTGTCATCACTGCCCTGTCAGCTTACTGACTTGCTGTGCAGTGCAATAGTTGGATATCAAGGGAAGTAGAGATGAGAAGATGCCCTTGTCTAGAAAGAAAATGTGTTGATCCACATTTAAAGCTTTTAAAATGAGAATTCAAATGAGGTCTGCAGAAGATGGTGAAAACAAAAACAGGTTTCCAGTCTAGCTTAGGTAAATATAAACTGTTGGATTCAAAGTTTTTGTTGTGTTAGCACACTGCTGGCTCTGGCAAGATTACTATTGTAGTTGCTCATAGCCTATCTTTAACTGTATATATATAAGTAATAACATGTTTTAAGGTGTATACCTAAATATGGGCTGATTTAAGCCATGTAACTGGTGAACTCTCACTCCAAAGTACCTACTAAAATAGAGGTATGTGCCTTGTAAAAGAAGGAATTGAAGAACCAAAATGTTCAGACTATGTGTAGCCTATAAAGCTACAAAGGTCAGGACTTCAGAAATGTAGGAGGCATTATAGTATGACCTGGTAGTACTGGTCTGTGGTGGTTTAGGATAATAGAGCCTTTCAAATATTGGTACTTTATCTTATCGCATCCAATTACGGTGTGTATGTAAGCACCTCACCCATCTCTTCAGAGGCTGTGAAAAACAGAAAAGACTGTGTCCCACCTAAATGGTGTATTTAGGCATCTAAAATATGATTGAGAGAGATTTTTCATGGCTGGATCCAAGAATGCAAGTGTCTAGCCATTTATAAGTCTCTTTCAAGGCTAAGCCTTGCCTGGAGTCGCGAACTAGATATCCACGTTCCTCTGCAGTCTTATAATAATATAAATATATAAAATAACCTGTGAAATGACATTGCCCAAATCCATGTAATCGTGTGGTTAATGTTAGTTGCATCATTGACATTACAGCACTGCATAGCTGAAAGCCTGACTACCTGTCCTCAGATTTACATTGAGGGTGTTTTTCATCAAAGTTTACGCTCTTTGACTTGATTGTCTTTACTGTGCCAGTGCCATGACTAAGTGGGATGGTTACCACTATCTTTCATAAGACATTAATATTTCATTAACTTGACTTTCTAAAATAATACGAAGCCAATGACATTCATAAGATTACTCATTTGAGACTCCGTTCTCATTAAACTTCTTTACTCCTCATGCTGTTGCACTGCAGTTGCAGAACAGAGTTATGTGGGAGTTTGTGTGTGTTAGTGATTGTCACCTCTCTAAAGTGTAAAGTTTTTTAGACTTGTTTTTACAGGTATTCAGTTAGGTTTTGCAAGTTGCAAAATGATGTTGGAAATCATCTGGATAGAAACATACACGTTTCTCAGAACTTTTAAATTCATGCATTGAACCTGACTCTGAGCAGACCTTACTATTTGCTTCAGATTATGATGAATGGATTATTTTAAATTGCACTGAGGGATTCTGTGATTCTTCAGGCAACAAAGGTTCAATACACTGTAATTAAGACTGGAATTGAGAAAGAATAGATAGGGAAGCATGTTTGAAGGTGTAAAGGGATGCACTTACCCCATCCTTTGTTCAATGCATATGCTTTTTTAAAACTCTTCTGTATATTCCCTTAATATGCAAAATCTTACCTGTAATAACTTCACCCTAGTTCGAGCACATGGATCTAAACTCAGTCTAGTTGTATCCTAATCTCAGTGCATCTAACCTGGCCTGAGTGTGCCCATAATGTTTTTGTACTACTGTAACTGATTGCTTCTGAATACATTAGAAACATTTTCTAATTTCTAATTATTTAGAAGAGATAATGAGGGAGATGTATAATCAATCTCTTGAATAAATTAAAACATGTGGCTTCTTTGAAAGGATATGCAGAGACCTCTTTGTCCCCTGTGAGGGGATTATTGGGGTATGCAGTGTAGGCATGCTGTGGGTGCAGAGCCAGCTGAGCTACTGCAGAGCCTGTTAGTGAAGGTGCAGGGATATGTGTGCACGGGGCTGTGCTTTCAAAACCAGCTTTATTTTGAAAGTGATATTAACTGCTTGCTTCATACACTAAGCTAATAAGACTGCTTGAAGGCAGGGATAGACCTGGTGTGCCTGTTGTCCTCTGTCCTCCTGGTTCCAGGTGGCCAGTGCAGAGACTTCCAGGTGGCTCTGTGAAGATCTCAAAGCCAGCAATCCCTGCCAGACTGCAGGCAGCTTCATGCGAAGCCTCTCTGGTTTGTCTGCGCTGTCCTCTGTGGAGCTCCACAGGCCAGGAGTGCTGCGGGGGCTTGGCCTCCATGCGCTCATGCTGGGAGCTGCAGCTGTCCAGGGGTACGCTTTGCTGTGCGGGGGCCAGCCTGGCTCCTGACTGCTCCCTTCTGGCCACACAAACCTGACCAGCTCCTGGCAGGTGTTACTCAGAATATCCAAGCTCCGTTTTCCTCAGTTACCCTGCATGACAGTGAGTTGACTGTACGATTCTTGGACTTAGGCTGTGTCCTGTGTTTCTTCTGACTTTGGTCTCTGTGCAGAGATATGCATAATAATACTATAAACAGTTTGACAAACAATATTAACTTCTAGTATTCTTCAAGAAGTCTTGATATTGTCTTAGTTAGTTTGATAGTGATGAGCAAGTCAAGGTTCATAGCCATTAAGAGTGGCATCATACATAAAAAATAATAATAAAGCTTTTTCTACTTCTTGTTGTTACTGTTTAATTTGGATATAGCCCTCCTTGAATATGAAAGAACATGTTGTTTGTTCATGACATATCTGTTACCTGAAAGTCTCCTGCACTATAAGGGGGAAGGGGAGAAAAGATCGTGGTTTTCATTGGAAAATGCCTGTTCTTTCCAGCTATTCAGGTGTTAACATTGTTTTATATCTTTTGGTTCAGTGTGCCTCCTCCATCAGCTTCAAGTAAGATTTTCAAATTTGTTATAAAAGCAACAGTTTTTGGACTGATGGGATATGGCTGCTACCGAATAGGTCAAAGGACAGTTCAGTTTATTCTCTCGATGCCAGCAGCACAGAGCTATCTTCAGAAGCTAACAGAAATAAGGTCTCGGCATTGAACATCGAGTGGAGGCACTATGGGAAGAAGGTGGCTGAAAAAGGGTGATAGAGGCAACAAATGTGAACTGGACTGAAAGAAGAGCGGGGATTCTAGTCAGAGGTGATTGATGCTGAGCAAAGCTGAATCGCTGTATAATAAAAGATTTGATACTGAAGTTACACCAGCTATGATCTAATGAATAGGTTTGATTCCTGGTAAGTGTGTTGCATGAAACCACATGATTCCAGACTGAGGTAAAAGAAATATGTACACAAATATATATATATTATATATATGCATACTGTATATATAATATATATTACTGGTGATGTAGTAGAGACAGCTTAAAGAGTGTATGTTCATGACTTCTTTTCCAGAGGAACAGAACAACACAAAGTAACCTAATTGGCTGCATCTGCTCCGAAGTTCAGGGACACTTGTCTTGAGTGATTCTTTGCTTTTTTTCCTTAGGTATAATAATACCTAGTGGTTGTTTTTGGTGCCAGACACTTTTACACATAATTTAGAAGGACATCTTCTCAATGTGTGTTTTATACTTAAAACATTTAGGCTTTTTTAAACTTAAGAGCTTTCCAAAAATTCCAGAATTGTACAGGCTGTCATACGTACACTGCTCAAATTTTTTTACAAGCCTTACTGAAAAACAGGAACGTTGCCTTTAGATTGCATCCCTTGTTACCACCACCAGTTGAATTTTCTTTCTCCTGCATAAAGAAGGTATAGCCACGCCATCAGAATGCAATGTGGTTTGTGTCGGATGTTTACAGGACACTCTGTTCCTTTAGATTAGCTTATTTAAACTGTATTATTTAGCCAAATCCTGCTGGATTCAGTATTGTAAATTTAAGAGAACTACTGTACAATTTACTTTTGTTTCTCAGACCTTTCATTATTGGGACAAGAAGTCTAGAATTGATAGTACCTGCCCCTCATTTTTTTTGTACATGAAAATATTTTATTTATCAATGTAATTTCTCAGTGGATGAATATTTTAATCTATTTAATAGAAAAGCAGTGTTCAATTTAGTTTTTCAAACTAGCTGTAGCATTTTGGGTTACCTGCTATTTATACATAATCTTATGGGTACTTGAAACTGCTGTGATTTTCTTTCTTGATTATCCAGGACAGCCATCCATCATTGATCTATTTCTTTGGATTATTTTAATCCTATTTCATAGGAATTTTTTGGTACCCTTTATACAGAATTGTCAATGACTGTAAAGTGCCCTCTACAATCAGCTAGTCCCAGTTCAACAATACAAATTACTGTAACTGTCATATCAAAGTTCTAACCTGATGTATTTGAATGGAAGAGTCCCATTTGCTCCTCAGGCTCACATACAGTTGCTCATTGCTTAAAGTGAAGTTTTTATCTGTATTAATTTCTTTTGGGAATGAAAGACAGGAACCAGTGAGTGAGGCAGGAGGAGGAGAAGATGATGTTGTGTTTTGTGTTTCTTTGTTCGTTTAATAAAATCAACAAACTCCTTTCAGTAGGGTATGTTTCCAAAGCCTTGTGTTGGAAGTTGTCCCATGCTGTATTGTTTGCTGAAAGTACGTACATGTATCTTCTGTGCAGTGTTGTCTTTTTCATGCTTTTTAAATGAAATTAAGGGTCTAATGCTCCTCTCTGATGGCACTGACTTTGCTGGGAGCTGGTCTGTCCGTGCAACCTGATGCTTTTCTGCCTTGCACTTTGGAAATGTTATGAGTCCCAGTGCAGCAAATCATTTAAGTGCATGCTTGTCTTTAAACCTATTAAATCTAACCTGATCCTTCAGAGCTCTTAAGACGATGCTAGGTGCTTTTCTGGATCTGGGCCTTACATTTGTGCAGGGAATAAACCTTAGCAAATGAGAATGGCAGCAATTCACACTTCTTGGACACAAAGTATAAATGATAATACAGAATACAGTGGAGGCAGGTCCTTTGGTTTTCCATCTATCAGTGCTTAAGAAACCACCAGCCATCTCTAGCAAGAGGAAAAGCAGCATTTGTAAACAATTTATAAAAGACTAGAGTGACTGCCTAAATTTTGATTCCTATTTTTTTTTATTTGTAAAGGTTTAATGTATTGTTCACAATTAAGCAGTCCTATTTGAATAATTCTATTATATTTTATGTACGTTTTTAAAAGATGAAAGCAAAAGCTTAAGCTCATTCTTCTCCTGGCTTTATTGACATACCAAAATATTTTGTCGGTTGTTTTTTGAAAATTTTTAGCTGGTAGAATTCAGTATATTGACATTTTGCTTTGTTATCTACAGATTTTTAAGGTATCTGCAGATATTTTAAAAGGTCTGTAGATCTTTGATATCTGTGCTCAGGTAATTTTACACAAAGGAAAACAAATCTAAGGTAAATTTTAGATATGAGCCTTAAACTTGGGTGGGACTAATGCTAAATGATTGTCATGGAGCATTCTTGCAGACTAAATGTTTTATGCTTTCTAGCCAGAAGTGATTACCATGTGAGTTGTCCATTCATTGTTCAGTTATTCTCTCCAGTTAATACCTTAAGTCTATTATTTGACTCTTTTTTTCACAAAGCATATCAGCAGATTCTTCAAGGAGCCTATCTGTGGATGGAGAATTTGCAATTTATCTTCCCACTCTTGCAAACTGGCAGAACATACACATGCACTGTTTACTCAGTGGCACTGGAAAGCCTGATGAATTTGCAGAACTAACAGTCCTCTGAATCCATACCTGAATGCTCAATGTTGTATATTCAATGTACTGTTTATGTAACATAATCAGTGTTTTAGGTCCATTCTTTTCTGTTCTAGTCAGTCCTTTCAGTGTTAACAGCATCCTGTAAAATTTAAATATATGTTGATTTGTCCCAGCCCCGCCTCAACCTTATGAAGCCATATTGTATTTTTTTGGTGACATGTACATCTGTTCTATGCATTTGTACATGTGATGTAAATTTGAAGTATTTTTAACAATGTGTGCCTTTAAAGTGATTTAAGTAAACAGCAGTATGTTCTATGATATAAAAAATAAAATATTTTAACCACCATTTCTGTTGAAGGCATTTATTTTCCTTATTAATCAGTATTTTTAGTGAGAACAAACACTGGTTAGCTTGATCTAGTACATGATAATTTCACCATCTAACACATTTTTCTGAGTAAAAGTTGGAGTAAATACTGAGGGGCATCTGAGTGTAACACTGAAGTAGGGAAACTAGTTTCTCTACCTACCGTATGTAGTTGGTTAGGAGAGGAAAGGATGAGTTTCCCTGCCCTACTGAACATGCAGAGAGACTGACTTCCTCATGTCAGTACCTGAATTCAGAGTCCAGAGTTGGGCATGGTGAGTGGACTTCTTGTTGTTGCTTTTCTTTCAGTGTCTCTGCAGTGCTCAGTGGTGCAAGGAGCTGATGGCCTTAGTCGCAGTCCAGCAAAGTGCTTAAACCCTGGCCTGACATCAGGCAGTCACTTGGGCTTGAAGTGCTGCCCTCTGCATGGGAATTAAAGGCCCTTTAAGTGGAAAAGGTGTTGAATTAGTGGCAGAAAGAGTTTAATCTTTCAAATTGAGCCAGGTAAACCAATATGACCATTACTTTTTTTAAACAAGCTATTAATAAAAAGACTCTGTATTCATACCGAAAGCAAGTATATATGATAAGCTATATTCCATACAGCTAATGTACCAGCTGAATGGTCTGCTGATGATACACTTTGTCAATCAGTGGTCCATACATTTTGACTGTAGGTGTGTGAAGTGCAGTCCTGTTCTCCTTGATCAGGCAAAGTTCCCTTCAGTTGCATGTGGAGGTGTGTCTGCAGAGAAGTGCTGGGTAAGCCATGTAGGTGGAAGAAAAAAATTCCAAAGGCTGTAGTTGTATAGTGTCCAGGGGGCTGGCAGGTGACATGCTGCAGAGCATGTGAGCTATGGAGCGCTGCTCTGTTGGGCAGGCTCAGTTTGCGCACGTGTGCAGGGAAGGCAGCTGCCTGCTTTGGGAGGGTATTGCTCTGTGTTTACATGCATACTGCTGGCCTAGGTCATGTTTATGATATGTCTTTTCTATACTGAATACTGAACCAAATTAAAAAGTTTATTTCTGAGGTGGATTAATATTGCCTGGATTTCCACTGGAAGCTGTTTTTTTTGGGGGGGTGTGTGTATTGTGAAACATCTAAAAGGCACTGAGAAACACATCCAGTTATCTAAAAGTGCCTAGCAGTAGTGGGAACTACGCATGGAAAAGAAATACCACACTGTCACTTGTGTAACTCTTAAGATACTCATGTACTTATTTTCCTGTTTCTTTCTAAACTTAAATAAACTTTAATTTTAGACTTGAGTGTTTTGAGACTGATTTTTATTGTAAGACTTGGGATTTTTTAAGTATTTGCAGAAAGGAAACACTTTTGCTTGTCTGATGTTGTGTCTGTTGGTTCGTTTAGTGCTGCACAGGGGAGCTCGAGTGGTGGTTTACTGAGTGGAGGAAAAGATGCATGCTGCCACTTTCACACTGCCTCATCTAGGGTACTTGGTGCTGATGCATCAAGACTGATGCATGAGGGAAAGCGGAGTCAGACTTAATCAGATTTAAAAAAAAAACCCACAAAACTCTGTTACATGCTTCTTTCAGATTCAGTAGGTTGTGTCTCCTCCCAGCTAAGTGACATTCTTTCAGTGCTAAAACATCCCTGCTTTTGGCTACAGAGATGATTCTCAAACTAGGCAAAGTACTTGAGTGACATTTTGATTGATTAGAGCGTGGTGGTTATCAACACGCCGTGCCTCTGCAGCCACTGAACTGCATGCCTGCCATCCTTGGGGCCAGCGGGAGTATTTGTATGGTCCCTGTACAATTGTGTGCGGCCAAGCCTGGCAGGACCACTCAGTGCTTTACCTTTGAGCAAGAACAGCGGGTTTCTAGGTGTGCACCACCTGCCCATGAGCATATTCTCTCTCCACCTCCCTGCATCTCCCTCCCTGCTTCCATGCCTGTGTTGTCTCTTGCCTTGCAATTACAGCCCAAGTTCTTTGGAGCTGAGACCCAGTGTTGTGGGGTTCTTTGCTTTCTGATTTAGCTGGAAAATGAGAGTTACGGTAATGATTTAGTGCCATCTACTGACTGCAGATGGTTTACCTGGTATGTCTGGTTTTAAGTGGGCGTGTCTACTGCACCCTGAGGCTATTCTTCAGAGAAGGCAGTAAGTGTGCATACCTTGGAGAGGTTTGGTTTTGACTCACCGATGTGGTACCTGGTATTAACTGAAATGACACAAAACCAGAGCATCCAGAGTAATTACTGACTTGGAGTATTCACCCATTTCTTTCTTCTTCTTGTGATTGTATTGATGCTTAAGAGGCA